GTTGGCCGAGAAGCGCAGCGGAGCCATGTGGGCGGAAGACGGAGGCGAGGGCGCGGCCTTGGGTCAGGAAGCAAGGCAGCCGGCGAGGGGCGGAGCGCACTTGGAAGCCGCAGCCCCAGCCCAGTTCCAATAAAGCGAGGTGACCTCTGAACGAATCTCCTGGTAAAAAGGAGGTAGCTTTTCATTAAGTAACGCCCGAAAGCTGTGAGCAAATAGCTTTATCTGAGTCCCACAATGTCACATATGCTGGCCCAGGATTCCCACCTCCGTCTTTCTGCCTCAGCCTCTTTATATGGGATTATAAGCCTGCCCCCTCCACACTCGGATCTTTATGCCAGCAGCTATCACACCGCCAGCCCGTTGGTTTTCCCTTACAGACTAAACACCAAATGAGCAATTTTTTTTCACAGAAAATTCGGATCATGTTGTTCATAGTTTTATAGCCTATACCTTTTCAAAGGACAGTCTATTAGCATTCCCTCGTGTTCTTCAATACTCTTCAAAGTCATGCCAATCGCCGCTTATTGTTGCATTGCACACTTAGACAACCCATAATTATCACCACGTCGCTGTGGATGGGGTGTGTGTGTGCGTGCACGCGCGCGCGCGGACTGTAGCAGTACTTTAAAGCGCCTCTGGGTCCCCATCTTCTTCTTATATTCCCCTTTTAACGATGTCCATCTCAGTGCTTGCCAGTCCTGGATGTTTACCCTGCCTTAGCAGGGTAACGGCCGTAAGTGGCTGGGGGCGGGGCGGTCTCCGCCTCCGCTGATTGGGTCATGGGAGGATAGCCAAGGGCAGTCAACCTGGCCAGTAAAGATTCCCTGATCAGGACTTGGGTTTTCCCGATGACTGGGCACGTGGAAACTTAATCATCATCATCTAAAGTAAAACAAAGGTAGAGCTCAGAAGAGTGTAACGGTAAAGGCATCTGGAAAACCCGCTGTCCCGGGGCAGCTGCTCCACAGCTGGAAACTTACTTGCAAAACCTCCTGTGTTTCTTGAAACAATCGGAACAAATCTTTCATCCACAAAACTACATAGAATTATATACTTCATAAGTGGAAACATGCTTAAATTATTTTTTAAAATTTATTTTATATATGTGGGTGTTTTTTCTACTTGTTTGTTCACTACATTCGTGCAGTACCGACGACAGCCAGAAGAGGGCATCGGATCTCCTGGAATTAGCTGCTAAGTAGGTGCTGGGAACTAGACTTGGGTCCCGGGGAAGAGCACATCTTCCCCAGCCCCCTTATATTCTTTCTTTTTTTAAATATTTATTTATTAGGTATACGGTGTTCCCGTAAAGTCAAAAGAGATCTCATTACAGATGGTATGAGCCACCATGTGGTTGCTGGGAATTAAACTCAGGACCTCTGGAGGAGCAGTCAGTTCTCTTAACCTCTGAGCCATCTCTCCAGCCCCCACTTAAATTCTTGATAGTTCTGCTAGAGTGCTTTCTGAAAGGGTAAATTTATAAGGATCGTGTGTACCTAGAATCCCCAGTACTTAGGAGACTGGTACAGGGGGCACTGTGAGTTCAAAGCCAGCCTGAGCAGCATAGCAACACCTTGTCTGAGTGAAAGAAAGGAGTTTTAAAAAGGAAACTTATACCGCACAACCCCACATCTCAACCTCCTTTCTGAGAGCTCCAAGTGCACCCAGCCAGCTCCCACGGTTGTGCTCAGCCTCATCTCAAGGCTAGCCTACACAGACATGCCATTTGCAATTTCATTATCTTTGACTTGTTCTGGAGCTTGCTTCTTGGCTGGACTCTGATGAGGTTGTGGTCCCTTAACTTAGCTTAACTTTTTAATCAATCAGCAGGTTTACAATCCAGAGTGACACCTAAGGGAAGAGATTCCTTTATGAACTCTTCACTGTAAATCCCTCGCCTGTACCGAGGTAATTCTACTTAAATTCTATTACCACCGCTACACCCCAAGTTCTGAATCAGGGGTGCTTGGACCCACAGTAAGCCACACTCTTTCTCATAGTCCTTCATATGGCAGAGGTCATACGAACTAGATGGACACAACTCCCTTTTCCTCCTAATTCCCTTATAACATTCACTAAAATAAATACTTAAGGAGCACAATGTCCATGAAAATCACCCCCCCCCCATATTTTTCCCCATGCCAGGCACTGAGCCTGGGCGGCTGTCCATGGAAATATGCTTTTTCACTGAACTACATCCCAGCCTACAAATTATTTTCTTCACTCATAACTTGGTCATCTATAATTTCCAGCACTCTGCAACATGGGGATTATACTAAATTATTATCCCAAGTTTCAACTGTGTCTAACTTTTACCCAGAGAATTTGCACAGCAGTGATGTTTCATTATGGTATCAACAACCTGTAAATGTTAATGGATGACAGCTAAAACTTGAATGTAGAGTTCAGAGTTCAGAGTCTCATCTGGTCATGTGATAGTGTCTGCCAGTGTGGTATTGAGACATTGACAAGCCTGTGTACAATACAAATCAAACCTACAGTGAAATTCCATTTGATACCATCCAGACTGGCAAAAATGAAAGTCAGTATCAAACATCCAACAGGGTTTAAAACAACTGGAATGCTTCCTCACTGTTGGTAGGAATGTAAATCACTTTAACCTCTTTGGAAAACAATTTGGCATGATCTTTTAGAGCCGATGTGCCCTTGATCCAACAGTTCCTCTTCCAGGTGTATTCCCTGAAGAACCATTTGCACCAGTGTGGCAGGAACAAGCCCCATGATGTTCATAGCAGCACAGTTTACACAGCAAAAGAATGAAATGAGCCAAACATCCATCAAGACTCATGTAGATGAGTTGTAGCACAGTCCCACAGTGTTGTACAGAGAGGAGATGACAAAGCTGGTTGCTCAAATGAAAAATTGAGTTTGCTCTTGTAGTGAAGCAACGTGAAGTTTGGTGGAGCTGAGGAGTTGAAGTTTGGATCAAATTGAAAGCCTTGTGAGAGCATAAAAATCTCAGAAACATAATTTTGAGAGAAGTATGTACAGTATGCTTCTGGTTTTATTCTTCTTTTAAAGATTTGATTTGATTTATGTGTATGTGTCAGTGTGTAGTTGTGTGCATGTAAATGTGTGTGTGTGAGTGTGTGTGAGTGTGTGTGCATGTGGGTGTGGGTGTGTGCATGTGAGTGTGTGTATGTGTGTGTCAGTGTAAGTATGGGTGTGGAAGTGTGTGTGTGTGAGGGGGTGTCTGTGTGAGTGTGTGCATGTGAGTGTGTGCATGTGAGTGTGTGCATGTGAGTGTGTGCATGTTTGTGTCAGTGTGAGTATGGGTGTGTGAGTGTGTGTATGTGTGTGTCAGTGTGAGTATGGGTGTGTCAGTGTGTGTGAGGGGTGTGTCTGTGTGAGTGTGTGCATGTGAGTGTGTGTGTTTGTGTCAGTGTGAGTATGGATGTGTGTGAGTGTGTGCATGTGAGTGTGTGTGTCAGTGTGTGTAAGCGCGTGTGAGTGAGTATGGGTGTGTGTGAGTGTGTATGTGTGTGTCAGTGTGAGTATGGGTGTATGAGTGTGTATATGTGTGTCAATGTGAGTATGGGTGTGTGTGAGTGTGTGTATGTGAGTCAG